AAAAACTTGATCTGGTCAAATGAAATTTAATTATTGCCTGATTGTTGGGTAAGCGGCTGACCCATACTTAAAAATCCGGAGCGCTGTGACTGACCGTCATGTTTGACCTGCTGCTGCTGAAAGCGAAAACTGTCCTGATACCTCATTTATTCTAAATATTACCACATCAGGGAAGAACTGGACAATCTCTAATCAGCACCCACTTTGCTGTCCTTTTCCCAGTCTCTTCAGCCAGTTAATGGTGATGTTGGATGTTGTATAAAGTAGACATAAGGACCTAATCAACACTGCCTTTCCAAAGTGTGATTCAACGAATCACAGTGGCCTTTTCGTGGTGAATGTGGTGCAAAACCCAGTTTTCATTCTCTGTATGAGGCTGAGACAGTCAATCAGGGTGACACTCAATAAATCAATTCCGAAATCCAGCTCAGATTGTGGGCCTAAACCTGCTTCTGTTAGAATCGATATTAAAACTGTTGAGTAAATCCAGTGGAAATCAGACTGTTGCTTCAGACTCCTCTGTCTTGAATAGAGGAGAAAAACTGCTAACAGGAAAACACCAACAGATTTCTGCTCTGGATATAGAACAGATCTTAAAAACGTCCTGTGACGCTGGTTTTTGGAGTCATACAAAGACTTTGCTACAGGAGAGCACTGAAACATAATGCATCCAATAACTTTCAAAAATCCAGTAAACTAATGAAGGGCTTTTTCTCTGTGGCTATGTCACTCGTCTGCACTCTAAGGACCGTATTCTCTGGAGTATTGTGTCTGCTTCATCACTCTCTGGTGTCTTACCCGGCCAGATGACTAAGCAATCAGTGGTTTTTACAAACACGGCTCAGTTTCCTTCCAGTGCTCTCTGACACAGTTACTCACTTTAGCGCGAGTCCACCCGGTGCTTTGCTAGGCTGTAAGAGAAAAGTATTTGCAGACAGTGCAAGACAGCTCTTGTAACGCGGGCAGTGAACTGTTCACACAGGGAAACGGGAGGAGGCATTTGAGTTTCTCATGTGAGGTGCAGTTACCTTCAAAAAGGTGCCAAGAGTCCACGCACCGTAGCTGGCACGGTCGGCTGCAGCAGGGGATTGTTAGTAGGTCCAAACGCTATGCTGAGGTTTGTATTGGAAAGGTGTCGTAATGGGCGGTCAGCTACAGGGTTTGGAGTAGCAGAAGTCATATATTCTGTTGAGCATAACAGCTGAAAAAAAGACGTGGCTCTCCAAAAGAACTGGGACCATTGCAGTGAGCGTATTCATTCTGTTGAACGTTCTGAGAGCCACAGAACTTCTTTTGGATGCAAGGTTTTCTATTGATGTAACTTTTACAAGTCTCCACGTTTCTTACGGAAATTCCTGGTTTTCCTTTCACAAACTTCATTTCCCCGGTAAGCAGATCCTCATTAAAAAATGTAGATGTATTGCATTCCCCTCAAGGGCTATTGCCTCCTGTTTTCTCTCTCTCATTATAGGTGATCAGTCTTAATTTTCACAGCAAACTTTTCCTGTCTTGGGACATCTTCCTAATGGGAACATGATTTTCATCGGGACTATCTGTCTATCGGAAGATCTAGCTAGGCAGTGTTTAGATATCATTAAAAGGGTTCTGACTCAGCCAGACTGATAATAACAGTTTGACTGAATTACATACAGAAGAGCTGCTAAAGTGTAATCTGTTTAATGGCAGACTATTTAAAAACCAAACATTTGCTGCGTAAATATGCTTAAACACAGTTGCATTTGCAGCATCTCTGATAATACCTTATTTACAGATTGTTGTTTTATTATAATAATCTTGGTATACTATTAATGTTTAATGTAATGTATCACCTCAGGTGTCATAGATTGTATTTCGCTGTCACTCGTGAGGTGTTGAAAGGTTACAAAAAGATTATTTTTCAAAACTGAGCAAGATCTGCAGTATTTCTAGAATTTTAACAGCTTGTGCACTTCTACGTGGATTGTTACCAATGTTACTGTATTGTTAGCAAGTGAGAACACGCTTTCAGAATTGTTTTGTGGCTCAAAGTCCAAAGTCTAGATTACACTTTGTTGTGGATTCTTGCAACTAGCACTCCTTTGTATAAAAACTCTCATATGGGAGAAATCCTGTCAGGACCTCTTTCTCCTTTTCTCCTCTGCACTTTGTGAATGTGGTGGAGTTTTTTCAGTAGGTCAGAGTGATCCTTGCAAACTCAGCAAAAGGAAGAAATGTAATGGCTACATCAGTCACGGTTGGATGTTAGTTTGAAGCAGTAGTCAAAGTGGGTTTCCTTTAAGTGTCTGGCTTCAGCGCTGGATGTCAACATCTGAGAACATTAACTGAGATATTAGTTGCATTTAGTGCGGTTGGTTATCATATCTAACAGCTGATCTATAAAGCTGCCTAACAATCAAGGCTAATTGCCTGCGGAGTTGTATTTGCAGTCCCTTAAGTTCGCGATTTATAATGTGCAACTGTAAAAGGCAATTGGGAAGCCTGGTTACAGAGGAACAGTTTAAAAAAGAGATTTTACAGCTCCAGTTTTTGAAGACAGCACATTCTGACTGTTGAGGCTAACATGGCTGATCTCGCTTATAAAGCACTAGACCTTTTCAGAATATTATTTCGTTATGATTCTTACCGTCCTGGCTCGACTAAAGCTCAAGGGCAACAGCAGTTTTGGTGGTGGGTTTTGGTGGTTTTTTTTTTTTTCATTCAGTACAATTCCTACTTCCAAATTCTCTCTTCATTGTTTTATTTATAGCTTTTTCTACACTGACCCAATCCTGAAACAATAAGGTCAGTTCCATGAGTAGACTACATGGCTCAAACTCTGCCTTGGTTTTGCTCCTGTGCAATCCTTTTGAGGCCTCGGCACTACGTATGTGGCTCAGGAGAAGCTTAATACGGAGTGTTTGTATATATTTGTTTATCATTGGTTTCAGAAGACCAGATACTATCAACTGAAGGGCTCATGGGGCAGGGTCCAAAGTGGCAACGCTCGTGACATTGCAACCAGCTGGGGAATAAGCCATGCCAACTAGAGCAGTGACAAATGCTCCTTAGCTGCCTCCCGAGATGTGAACCAGAAGACCAACCACCTCAGGCGCACGTACACCGATGCATGCAGCCTGGGGAGCAAACAGGAGAAACTGGAGCTCCATGTCCAGTCAGAAAGTTGTGATACCATAGGAATAACTGAAACGTGGTGGGATAACTCACATGACTGGAGGATTGCGATGGATACCTATAGCCTGTTTTGCAAAGACGGGCAGGGAAGAAGAGGAGGAGGAGTCATGCTCTATGTTGAGGAGAACCTTGAAAGTATAGAGGTCAGCTATGGCCACTGTGGAAGCCCTGTCAAGTGCCTCTGGGTCAAGATCATAGGAGTCATCTCCAAGAGGGATCTTACAGCAGGCATCTGCTACCAACCTCCAAACCAAAACCATAAGGCAAATGAAGCAATATTTGGGTTACATAAGCAAGCTTCAGGTCAACAGAACCTGGTTCTTATGAGTGACTTCAACTGCCCAGACACTTGTTGGAAGAACAATAGAGCAGCTCACATGTCATCCATGAAGTTCCTGGAATGCGCAGGGGATGAATTCCTCATACAAATGCTGGATGTGCCAACCAGGAATGAGGTGCTGCTGGGCTTGCTACTCGCAAACCAAGAAAACCTGCTTTGTAGTATCTCGGTTAATGATAGCCTTGGCTGCAAAGAAGATGGAAACTGCCTTTCTACAAGGAGTCACATGGAAAAGACAAGGAGTAATGGGTACAAGTTAATCCTGGGGAGATTTGATGGGACACTAGAGGAAGATTTTTTTGCAATGCGAACAATTTGGCATAATCTCCCGAGGGAAGTGGTGGATTCCCCAACATTGGATACTTTTAAGATCCAGCTGGACAGGGCGCTGGGCCATCGTGTCTAGACCGTGCTTTTGCCAAGAAAGGTTGGACCAGATGATCCCCGAGGTCTCTTCCAGCCTGGTAGTCTGTGATAGTTTATAAAATTTCCAAAAAAAAAAAAAAAAAAAAGTAGAGGCCAGTGATTTTCTTTCTTGTTTTTTTTTTGGTTTGGTTTTGGTTTTGGTTTGGTTTTTTTCTCCTGAAAATGAGGAAAACCATGCAAAACATTTATTTTGGGTAGAAAGGCAGCGCAAGTGATAAAAATCTCCCAGACAAGACCAGTCTGTTCTGAAGAAATTATCTTCTTTTGAAATACTTCAGCGTCTTTCACATTTCTGGGTTTGGACACTATTTTCACACTGGGCCAAATTTTGTGAAGTGATGATTTGTCTATGGAGAGTTGTCTGCTGAAGCATAGATCTGAGACCAAGCTCATTTCATCTGTGTGTTATACCTGGCTATAAAAGCATGATACAAAGCATCTCAGGCAGTAAATATAATCATGTTTATCTGATTGAAAATAGCACGTGTATTATACTTATTACCTTGTTAGCACAATGAATTCCATGGTAAATCCTTATGGTATTTATTCCAGGAAGACCAAATGGATTCTTCTAAATAACAAAGGAAGTGTCTCCTCTTTATCAGTAGGGATGGTAGACTATACACAAACACAGAATGAAGTTTAGATTTCTCTGGTTAAGTTGAGTGTTATGCTGCAAAATGCAAAATAGGCCAAAGGATTCTGAATGGATCTGTAAATATATCCTCTTTCATTAGACTGATGTATTAAAATATTGTGTAGTTAGCTGCGTGACGTTCTTGCTTGCTAGTGTGTGCAGAAATACTTTTGAACTCAGTCTTCTGAAAGAGGGACACAGAGAAAAGCAGGATTTCATAACAGAGAAAAAAAAAAAAAGAACTTGGTATGATAGGATCAATAATTTCTGCATTAATAATGAGTGTGTTGCCATAGTTTCGAAACATTTCTCATTTCCAGGAAATATATGTGTATTTATATCACTGAAAGGCATTGTCAAAATTTAGCACATTGACATTATAGCCAAGATATTGAAAAACTAATTTTCTCTTTCTCAATTTTCAAGATCCAGATTTTAAGGACCTTGGCGTTTTGAAACCATTGCCAGGTTGGTATGTTGGTTTGTTTTTTTTTTTAACTTGGAGGCCTTTGCACTCTGCTGTAGAAAATATTTTTGTTTGCTGTTCAGGTTTCATTTTTTCTGGTATTTTGTTATTCAGTTTGTGAGTTTGAGATGGGAGGACCTGAAGGAATTGTGGAATCTGTACAAATTGTCAAAGAAGGAAAGGCTTCTGAAACTGAAGCAGTAGACTGTAAATGGTACATCCGAGCACCACCCCGATCCAAGGTCAGTCCTTCATCCACTTGCTGATTTGCCATTTAATTTAAGAAATTGACTTTTCTAATATGTCTTGCGTTTCTTAGTACAGTCAGATCTTGTTTAATAACTTTACAGCTTGAACTTGTAAACTATTTCTTCCCTTCTGCCATGGAAGAGTAATTTGTCACCTCAGCCAAAATAACCTTCTTTCTCTATAAATAATGATGTGGGCAGCGTTAATGTGCTTTTTGTGCCATAAGTAATTTTCTTAAATTCATCTTTAATTTTGCTCATATTTTTAAAGAAGCAATGTGTTTTCTTGAGTGGGAGGTAATCTTATCACTTTAATTTTCAATATATTTCAAATACCTAATATAGAGACTACTAGGGGAACACTGCTGGCTCCCTAAGGTCATCGTTTCTCGTCTGGGAACTGTGGAAATGGAGCCAAGGTAAATCCGCATTCCTCTGTATGAGACCTTTGGTTCCTTTGGTTTAGTTACAGACAGAAGGAGGTAGCGTTCTCCTTTCTCTCCCACCACAGTCAGCAAGCCAGGCCTTCCTAACAAACAGGAGAGGGCTGCAATGACTTCAACAGTTCTTGTCTTGCATTCTGGATGAGTTCCTCTCTTACCCGTGGCTTACCAGTTACTATATGGATTCATTGTGGCTGGCTGCACTACCATTTACTCCTCTCTTGGCAACTGGAGCAGCTTTGTGCCTCTCACTTGCTTTCATTCACTGTGTTGAAGACAGCTCTGCATCTTGGGTTTTTCTAGCTGTCTTTTACTGGACAGGGAAGGTTTTACAAGGCAGAATTTATATATCCACTGATCTCTGCCATCTTTAAACAGATAAGGGGGTTTTGGTATAATCTCAGAGCAGACTGTACTGGATATACCTGTTTCAGCAATTGCTAATCAATAAGCAGGAGGAAGGGTTTCCAGAAGAGAAAAAGTCATTAGTATCAGCATTTTTCTGTTGTGAAAGTTTAGGAGAGGAGTTGGCTCATAAAAACAACAAATAAATTATTTCAAGAATATACTTTAATCTCATATTTTATTTTTACTTTTGGATAAATTCAATATTTGTAGAGGTTTTCCATTACATAGATGAGCTTCCCCCTTTGCTACAGTCAGTAGCTATGGATATGAAATGACTGGACTGATGAATCATTGTTGCATATGTTATACACTTAGGTATTAGTAGAAAGAAAACGGGTAAACACAAAATCAGAATTGTGCTTACTAGAGTCAGAACAACTAAATAAGCCAATAAAATTGTCCTGTAGTCTTCATTTCAGTTTATGCTTGGTCGGTCAGATAATGTCACTGTGATATCCTTAATTTCACTGATTTTAAAGATCTGTATGATTCCAAGTTCTGCTAGATATCCCATAGGATTTATCCACACTTCAGTCCTGATGGAAAAATACAAATTGTGTAGCTACATAACCATAAACACAGTGTGTAGCAGAAGAACGCCACACTACCGCTGTTAATAACGGATTAAAGATCGTTTAGTTCTTCATGAACTTCTGTACCTGCCTTTAGCTTGTTTGCATTTCCAAAAGAGTATACCAGCTGAAGAGCACCTGGAAGGGAGAGCAGTGAGAGAGTTCTAGAAAACCTGAGGAAACACTGAAAGTTGTTTAATGTCACCTAGAAGATTTTGTGAAGGACCATGATACCAGATGATAAAAGGCTTTTACAATGAGGAAGGAAAGCTCTGCTGTCCATGTCTATAGGACAAGTCATGGTCCAGCACTCTGAAAGAAAGATTCAGGTTAGCTGCTAGGGAAGAAAATTGCAAACAGCAGGGAGGGGATTGTGAATGGTTGGTTAAGGTTCAGCCAGCCTTGCTAGCGGTCTCAAAGGGCAGGTTAGGTAACAACCCGTGAAGAGTGAGAGAACCATGACTAATCCTGCCATTAGGCAGAGGGGTGGGCTGGGTCATCTCTTGACGAATCTTCCTGCTCCCATCTTACAGAATTCTCTGGAGAGAGAGATAGGGCAATATAAAAGTGTATAAATCAGAGTTTCTTGACGTGGAGTTGAAAGCTTTTTCAGCAAGTTAGAAAAAAAAAAACAGTTTTCAAGCCTAGATTCCTTTTCGAGGGCTAAGCCAAATTTAGCACTTGAACATTCTTAGTGTGGTTTCACATATACATATACATATATAAATATGTGTGTGTATGTATACACACACGCACACCCATATGGTTATGTCCCCCGCCATACTGGGACAGGCTGAAAAACGTTCAGATATTAAAGAAGGAATTAGTGGGTAAAATTTTAAGAAACCTTGTGTGAAGTAGGATTTATGGTAAGGTTGTTTATGGGCCTGATTCAACTGAACAGGATTCTATTGTCCATATTTTACAGCCAGCTTCCTTTGTGCTTACCTAACCTTGAACTAATGACATATTCAGCACAATAATTTAGTGACACCATTCTAATTTATGGCAGCTTGCACCTATGACAACAGGCTCTCCTGTTAAGAACAGTAAGAAATTAGCAGACGTCTTTAAATCCACATGTTCCTGTACCCTGGGCTGCACAGTTTGTTACTGGGAAATATGCCTAAAAGGCCAGAGTTTCTCAGGCAGAGTTTGGGTTGGATCTTTACATCTTTAGTTTCTTAATTAAACTGTGCCAGAATGTGGGCTGCTTGCAATTTCATTTGGCTTAAGCTCATCCAACCTAAACTGTCTGCAGAAGCAAGATGCAAGTCCTTTCCTTGGTTTCCAACTCCAGATTCAAGCCAAGTCTGAGGTCAACGTGTGAGCAATGAGATCAGTCAGGGAGTGTGAACTTAAGATCTCTAAGCCTGAGCTTCCAACTGGCAGTATGGGTAACGTTGCTGCTGGAATGGGACAGAGAACAGCAAATTTCTTGCACACACTTAAAATAGAGCCATCACCGATTACCTTATAGCACAAAAAATAAGATGCTGAAAATGCGCGCGGAACTGAAACCTTCTGGAAGCGCAGAAGACAGCAGAAGGCGGTTTAAACACAACTTCATCCTATGCCTGGAGCCTTCTATTTGACAGTGACGGGTTGCAAAGTGTGTGTTTCTTGTAATCATTCGAAGTCCGTTCCTGCTAACAGCGGTGAACGTGGAGCTCAGAAATGCTGGGGGTTCTGCACTACGTGTGGAAGCTGACTTCAACTGGTAATCAGAGCAAGAATGGAAAATGAAGAAGAGAGCTGCTGACCAAACGTGCCAGCCCACCCAGAACAGGAAAGAGCTGGAGGAACCTCCCCATACCAAAATTCTTCACTGGAGAACAAAGCCCAGAGAAGGAAGTGGATAAGCTTATTGCACCGGGATTTGAAAAACTTCAGAGATATCGTTGGCTACAGCAAGGGGTGAGCAAAGAAACCCTATTTGTGAATAGAAAACAAGAAAATGAAAAGAATGATAGTGTTTTCTCACTTTCTATTAAGGGTGAAATGTCACAGGATAATACCGACAACAAACGTTTTTCTATATTGAACGTGTCGCAGAGGCTGGCAAGGTCCCCCAGGAACGCATGTTTGTGCTCGGGTAGTGCTCCCTTTGGTGGGTAACTCTCCCAGCAAGGCACCATTGTCTTGTGCTTGTTGCTTGAGAGGTTTTGTAGGAAAATTTGTAGCAGAATTTGGCAGTAAAAGTAACAAAACTTTTGCAAAGATGATGTTCTGATGCCGGGAAAAACCAGTAAGCAGTGCTTATAATCAGAAGTTCTAGGGAGCTCGGGAAGAGCATCCAAACTACAGATGGACAAGCTTTTGTTTGAATCCAGTCCAGTGGAAGACATCTGTTCAGGAGGAAGAAGCAAGAGGCACGTTGAGATTGGGCAGATAGTGAGGCTACACCATGAGAAATAAAATGAAGTCGTAAGGTAGTTAGGCAAAGTGATGCCTAATTCTCCCACCCCACCCGAGCATGCTACTGGGCAAAGACGACATCTTTACAGGTTGTAGGATGCAAGACTTAACAAAAACCTTAAGAAACTGAAAGGATTAATTAACGAGTATCTAGTTTTGACGTGTTATTGCAGTATCCTTAACCCTGAGCTGCCTGTGAGCAGTGACGTCTGATTCAAGCCGAGCTGTTGGGGAGCAGTGGGAGGGGGTGCACGGTGCACAGGAGGGGTCCAAGGTGGCCACGGGGCCAGGACAAGGAGAGCCGTGGTGGGCTTTCTCATAGGAGAGCCAGGGAGCCATCTGGGAAAAGCATTAGAGCCGGGCGTGGGCCACAAGTCCCAGTGGGACCTCTTTACAAAGGACAGGTATCGCTACCGGGTTCTGAGTCGCTTGTCACTCTCTTCATGGTGGACCTCATATCCGCGTACCTGGCCAAGCAGAGAGGCGATGCTTTCTGTTCCTGGTGACTGACTTCGGCTGGAACGAACTCTGGAGGGAGAGCGGGTTGTTGCGCATGCATTTGCCAGGCGATGAGGAGGAAACACGCGGCGAAGCACATTGCCCAGCTACAAGTCTGTATAAGTCAGACTAAACCAAAACATTTTCTGTTCTCACACGTGAAGTGGAAACTTGTGCTCTTGGGTGAGACCCGTGAGAAAAACAGTTTAAGCTGTCAGCACTGGCAGACTAGTATATCCCAAATATTTGGAGGCTTCTTAATCAGGTGTGGAAGAGAAGCTTTAAGTAGTACACTAAAATTTAATAGGAGCTGTTTGAGTGGTGATTCCTGAAATGTTACAGAAAGATGGACTTTAGAGACTGAAAAAACTAATAGCCAGAGACATTTCTACAGACTTCAGATGAGCTCCATCCCTGAAGGAGCTCTGAAGCTTGCTAACATACAGATAACGCAAGTAATATTATGAATTAATAAAACCCAACACATTTATATGGCATCCCTGGAACAAGGTGAGCAAATTATGTTTAAACAAGTAGAAACTATTGCTTACATATGTTAAACTATTAAAATCACTTCTTTGAGAGAGTTCCGTTAGATGAAGATGCAAGACAAGTGCGTGTGTAGAATCGTGTATGTAGCATCTCTTCTAGCAGG